ATAGAAATAGTGTTCTGGGCATCGTAACAGATGCTGGGACAAATCCAAAGCGGGTTTCAAACATGGTCCCTGTCGCCAAAGAGCCCCTTGGCCTAGCTGGAGAAGCACAGGTAACCAGGTAGGTCCTCACATGGGTGTCCAAACAGGCACCCAGGCACAGAGCTGCCAGGGACTAACTCGGCGCTGGGGAGGGCCAGAGGAGAAACGAAACGGGACAGGAGCTCAGCCTGGAAGCCTGAGGAACTGTGGAGGGTGCGTCATGCTGGGATGAGTGCCTTGGGATGGTCTCGAACACAGAGATGCACCTACTGGGGCCAGGAGTACCATAGGCTTGTTTGGTTTGGGCCCAGCAAATTTGCCAATTGCTTTTTTAAAAGTGTTACTATTCCGTGTTGGCAAGGTTGCCGTGAAACTGGCCTTCTCGTGCGCCAACAGTGGGTGTGTTCATTGGTAGAACCTTTCTGGAGGGTAGAGTCAGTAGTTTCAGATGTGTAAAAATACATATAAATCAGTAAGTGATCACTGAAAGCATAATTTGGAAATTAAGAAATGGAAATAATCGAAGTATTCATGCAGATTATTTAATGATTGAATTCATTCACAAGGATGTAATATTTGAGTCATTAAAATTAACATATCTACAGAATATTTAATGCCATGTAGTAAGAGCTCATAATGTATTTGAAAAAATAAAACATAAGGAAGTGTATGTAATGTTCCAATTATGAATAGATCTATTTTTACTACTACAGTAATTGGAGGAAGATGTTTACAAATATTTATCAAGGAAACGGAGGAAGAGGAGGATCCTCGCCTGAGGACAGACTATGATAAGTCTTTTTTTTCCTAAGTTTATTTATTTATTTATTTGACAGAGAGAGAGCACAAGCAGGGGGAGTGGCAGGGAGAGGGCGAAGCAGACTCCCTGCCCAGCAGGGAGCCCCATGGGGGCTCGATCCCAGGTCCCTGGGATCATGACTGAGCTGAAGGCAGACGCTTAACCAACTGAGCCACCTGGGTGCCCCATGCTAAGTCTTGAATGTCATGGGAAGCCGTAGTCCTGGGAGTGGTTTTGTCAGGATCTGGGGACTCAAGCGCAGGGTCCCATCCTGCCTGTGGTCTGGAAGCTGTTAGTGGAGGAGAGTTTTTCACCTTTCTGTGGTGGTTGTTTAGCAGAAGACAGTTTTTCATGAGCTTTATGATCTTACTTCAGGCCAGTCTGAGGGAGATCTACCAAAGCACTGCAGGGCCTTTGTTTTTGCCCTGCTTTTCAAACGGAAAGTAATAAACTCAGGCAATGTTTGAGCTCTCAGAATATGCCAGACATTATAGGTGCATTATCCCATCTAATCCTTAAAACAATCTCATGAGGAAACCAAGGCTTGGAGAGGCCATGCAGTCACACAGTGTTAGATTTAGGATTTGAATCCCGGTATGGGTAATTCTAGAATCCGAGTTTTTTTTTTTAATTTTTTATTGTTATGTTAATCACCATAATTACATTATTAGTTTTTGATGTCTTTTTTTTAAAGTATTTATTTATTTATTTTAGAGCTAAAGATGTGGGGGAGGGGCAGAGGGAGAGAAGCAGACTCCGTGCTGAGCCCAGAGCCTGATGTGGGGCTCAATCCCACAACCCCGAGATCATGACATGAGCCAAAACCAAGAGCTGGACACTTAACCGACTGAGCCACCCGGGCACCGCTAGAATCCTGGCGTTCTTAACCCCACTGCTCCAGTCTCTAATGTGCTGAGACCTGGTTCTGACGTTGAGTCTGCCATCAAGGCGCAGAGTCACCGTGTCTTACCTCCCTGGGTTTCCTCACTGTAATAACCCTGCCTGTCAGTGCTACTGAGAGGAGCTGAGGTCAGAGGCTCAGAGCTGGAAGACGACAGGGGTCCACTAAGCCCTTCTTGACTCTACTTGGCAAAGGAGGGAACAGGAGCCCAGAGTTGTGATCAGTGGAGAGGGGAGGAGGGGAGACATTTGTCCAGCTTTGTAGGAGAGCTGGGACTGGAATCCAGGAATTCTCAGTCCCATGAAAGCATCCCCAGATTAGCATAACCAGTGGTGGCAACGGGGATGAGACAACCATTGATCTCCCTCCTTCTGACAGCCCAGAGTAGAGAGGCTGGCTCCCGTCACTTCCCCAGATTCTTGCTTGGACAGCTTCCCGGATATGTGCCTGGGTCGGGCATCCCCTCTGCCCTGGGCGGGGAGAGCTGAGTCTTCCCAGGGTGGAAGGAGAACTCAGTTGTCAGGCATGCCCAGCCACTGAGGGCTGGGGGGAGGTGCCATGTCTTGTTCCATTTGCCAGGGGCTCGCACTGCACCAGGCTCTGTGCCGGGCTCTGTGCCAGGCACTGGGGGGCAGGAGCAGAAGGTTGTAGAAGCCTTCCCTTGACTTACCTTCCTTCCCCAACCAGAAGTATGCTTTCCAGCAGCATTTCAGTCATTCTTGAGTTCAGGAAATTGTTAATAATTTTATGCAATAATGTACTTTAAAAAATCTGTGACCATAATAAAAAGTACAGTTAATTGAACATTTTCATAGCCTTTCCACAGGCTGACTTATTTTTTTAAGTGTCTCTCTCTTTTTTCTTTTTTTTAGAGAGGGAGAGAGGGAGGAAGGGCAGAAGGAGAGAGAGAGAATCTTAAGCAGGCTCCACAGCCAGCGTGGACCCCTGAGAGGGCAGAGCCCAACATGGGACTCTGTCCCACGACCCTGAGATCGTGACCTGAGCTGAAATCAAGAGTCAGGTGCTTAACTGACTGAGCCACCCAGACACCCCTTTTAAGGTTTCTTAAAATGCGATCTAGAATTTTTTTTTCATTTTTTTAAGAGCATCTTTTTTTTTTAGAGGGATAGTTGACATATAAACATTATATTAGTTTCAGGTCTACAACAATGATTAGATATTTGCATGTATTGTGAAATGCTCACCACAATACGTCTAGTTAACATCCAAGAACATCTTGGGGTGCCTGGGTGGCTCAGTTGGTTGAGTGTCTGCCTTCGGCTCACTCATGGTCCTGGGGTCCTAGGATCAAGTCCCACATGGGGCTCCCTGCTTGGCGGGGAGTCGCTTCTCCCCCTGCCTCTTCCCTCTGCTCAAATAAATGAATAAAATCTTTAAAAAGAAAAAAAAAGTGATGTTATTTAAAAAAAAAAAAGACATCCAAGAACACCTTAAAAAGTTACAGGATGGCTTAATTTATTTTTTCTACCCCAGATTCTGGTCCAGTGGCTAGTGCCAGGCCTTGGCTGACTTTCCACCTATCTGGGGTGAAATGAGAAAATTAAAGGTGTAAGTGTGTGTATAACATTGAGTAAGGATGTCAGTTCCCCATTTCCTGGAAGAAGTGTCTTGAGCTTTCCTGACTATATTTTGGAAGATTATAATATCCTCTATTTTATGAAATGATAGTGTTAGTCTGTAGATAATGTTTTTCAGCATCCTTGCTTTTCAACCCATATCAACTGTCCTATTAAAAAATATAATTTACGAAACTTGAAAATCTGGGAGCCACTGACACTGCTTCAGGATTCAGCCCTTTGGCATCTCTTGCCTCCTTTGATCAGATTCAACCAATACTGGCCAAATATGGCTCAAGTCCTTGACTCTGCCAGGTATGCACTAATCTAACTTGATTAGTGAATAATCTACCTCACTCAGCCTCAGCCTCCCGTTCTGTAACTTGGGGAAATTAATATTTCCCAGGATCATTCTGAAGATTAGCTAAGGTAGTGTAGACATCATAGTGCCCAGTACATCCTGAGTACGGTGTCTTACCCCCATCTGTCAAGGTAATTACCACTGCCTCCTTATAGTTAGCAAAACACCCCCTCTAACAAAGAATAAGCGTGGTAAAACCATGGCTTGGATGACAACGACTTCTTCTTCTTCTTCTCCTTCTCCTTCTCCTTCTTCTTTTAAAGAATTTATTTGAGAGAGATAGAGAGGGAGGGAGAAAAGCAGACTCTGCACTGAGCATGGAGCCCAACACGGGGCTAAATTCCAGGACCCTGAGATCCTGACCTGAGCCTAAACCAAGAGTCAGACGCTTAACCGACTGAACCACCCAGGCACCGCCCCGCCCCCCCCCATGGCTTGGACTTCTTTTCTTTTAAAATTTTATTTATTTACTTGAGATAGAGAGTGAGCAAGAGAGCCGGGGCAGGGGAGCAGAGGGAGGGGGAGAAGCAGGGAGCCCAATCCCAGATCCCAGGACCCTGGGATCATGACCTGAGCTGAAGGCAGACGCCTAACCGACTGAACCACCCAGGCGCCCCCATGGCTTGGACTTCTTTTTTTTTTTAAAGATTTTATTTATTTGAGAGAGAATGAGAGATAGAGAGCACGAGAGGGAAGAGGGTCAGAGGGAGAAGCAGACTCCATGCTGAGCAGGGAGCCCGATGTGGGACTCGATCCTGGGACTCCCGGATCATGACCTGAGCCGAAGGCAGTCGCTTAACCAGCTGAGCCACCCAGGTGCCCTGGCTTGGACTTCTGATGCTTTACCCCTAATACAGGGAAGGATCAACTTCCTTGGAAGGAAGTTGTGGGAACCATAGGTCCTGAGAGGAAAGGGTAATTGTCTCTGAACTAGAGGTTGGGAAGTTTCAGCTATAACTGGGGTGAGGGTAATAGCAAAAGGTCTGGCCAAGAGCTGGAAGAAGGAAGAGGTGGGCAGGGAGGGCCTCATGGTTGGTGGCACAAACCACAAAAATCTAAGGAGAGGTCAACCAGTATCAAACTCCCCACTGAGGGTTTCCATGGCAATGATGAGAAATCCTGCTCTGGGAACCCCTTCCCTACAGAGGGAGGGCTGCCTTCGGCTAGTGAGGGAGGCAGCCTAAGTAACTGGATCCAAGGCAAGGTCTGGTATAGCTGGACATCAGTCCTGTCTTGCCTTTGCAAGGATCCTACTACAGCATCCATCCTCACATTGACCTCCTACCCTCTACCTTCACCTCATTGTTGTCTCATTTCTTCCAGAGGCGCCAAAAACCAGATCAGCCCCCCAGACCAGAGCCACAGGAACTAGGTCCACTCAACGGGGACACAGGTGAGTAGACAGCCCTATAAATGCCCTCCCCACCATCCATGAGGTTTCCTACTTTATCAACAAAGCTGATATTTAATTATCTCATGAGACCTTAGGTAGGTTACATTAATAGCAGTGGCATGTCTAAAATCAGGGAGGTGATACTCCTGACCTGTACTTGCCTGTTCCTGGCTACTGATGCCACACATGGAGGGTTCAGTTTATTTCTGGAAAGTACATTTTCAGGAGAATCCAGAAAAATTGGGAGGGAGTACAGTAGAGACAGATCAGGCTGGTAAGAAATCTGGAAACCCCCTGTAAGGAGCAGTTAAAGGAGCAGAGGTTGTTCTACCTGGAAAGAAGATGTTGCAATGAAACACAACAGTTCTCTCCAAGTATCTGAAGTACCCTCAGAGAGAAGAAAGATAAGCCTTGTTCAGTGTGACCCAGAGGTCCGTTCAAGGGCCTCAGGGTGGCAGAAACAGGCAGGCAGAATTCAGTTCAGTCTCAAAGGATTTTTTGTGTGATTGTTGGTTTAAAAGCACCAGAGCTACCTGGTAATGAAATGAGTGCTCCATCTCGGAAAGTGTTCAGTTACAGACTGGAGACTGGCAGGGCCATTGTAGACGAAGTTTAAGTACCAGATAAGCAATTGGATCAGAATTCAGAGGCTCTGTAATCTGCCTGTGCACAAGAATTACCTGGGGGAACTTCAAAGATACACATTCTGGGCCCCACTGCAGACCGACTCGACAAGGGTCTCTGGGAGTGGGGCTGAAGACTCTGTCCTGGTAGTGATGATCTATCTTTGTTATAAGCTTCTCCCTGGACCAGTAATGCCAACCCCTCTAATGCTTGTCAGGAGCAACGATGACTCTCTAGAGAGCATTCAGTAAACAAGAAGGCACATTTATTGAGCTATCTCTAAATGCCTGGCACAACGCTTCCTGCTTTGTGTGCATCAGCAGGCAGAGTAAGGTGACAGGAGGGCTTGCCGTGGGATCAGACTGTGCAGGTTCATAGCCCCTCCCCCAACCGTGAACTGCATGATCCTGGGCCAGTTGTGTAACTTCTCTGTCCCTCAGTTTCCTCATCTGTGAAATGGGGATAAACATAGTACCCACTACAGTGGGTTGTTGTGAGGACTGCATATTCCCCATGAGGCACCTGGGACAGGGCCGGCATGCGCTTGGGCACAGTAAGCTCTCAGTGCTCCTTACGTTGCTGGTATTATTTCTGTTGCCATCATTTCCTGATTTAATCATCTCCACAGCCCTGTGAGCTAGATATTATTATCCCAATTTCCCACATTGGGTAACTGAGGCACAGAGAGGGCGGGTCGTGCCTTAGGGCACACCCAGAGCCTATTGGACTCACAGGGGCATTGGCAGGGCCTGTTCTGGAGTCTCCCTAAGCAAGGGCTAGACTTCCTGTTTGCGTCTCCTTCCCACTCACAGCAGCCCCTCTGCCTCCAGCTGGAGGCGGGGGGGTGATGCTAAAGGTCAGGGTTCACACACCCAGACCCTCACAGGCCCCAGCAGGTAGAGCAGGTGACTCTGGCCGACGGCAGAACCATGTCCTGTACGAAGCGGGAGACAGCTGTGCCTCAGCTTCAGCTCCTGGCTGGCACAAAGGTACACGCTACCAGTTCTTTGGCTTCTTGAAGAAAAGTTGGAAATCTGTATATGAAGTAAAAGTTGCCCAGCAACAATTAAATCTCAGCAAATTCTTTTTACCTTATTTTTTTTAAGATTTTATTTATTTATTTGACAGAGAGAGACACAGCGAGAGAGGGAACACAAGCAGGGGGAGTGGGAGAGGGAGAAGCAGGCTTCCCGCTGAGCAGGGAGCCCGATGTGGGGCTCGATCCCAGGACCCTGGGATCATGACCTGAGCCGAAGGCAGACGCTTAACCATCTGAGCCACCCAGTTGCCCTCCCCCCCCTTTTTTTTTTTACTTTAGATATCAGTTAGAGCAAATAACACCATTATGGGCTGAGTCCGTCCTGTGAGTTACCAGCTCTGCTATAGATCATAGGGGGCAGAATGAGACCCCTGGCTCCCGCACTAAGGAGGGTCTCCAAAGCCAGAGAGATGTGAGCGACTGCCACTGGAGGTTGATCTCCCAACTGAAACCATTCTTGCGGTGGAGACTGGAGTTCTCACCCCTTAGCCCTGGCCTCCGACATCCTCTCCGCCAGGCCCTGGCCTCACCTCTGCTCTGTGTGAATTTTTTGCTTCCTTGCGTGTAGCCACAGCTGTCCAGCTCTGTGCATCTGAGGAGGCTGAGGAGTGCCAGAAGGAGATAACCAGAATTCTCCAGCAACACGAAGAGGAGAGGAAGAAATGGACACAACAGGTAAGTCCAGGTGACACCCGGCCCTTCTCTCTTCCTCCTGCTTAGCTAACCTTGCTCAATGCCAGAATGAGGATCACCTGTGGATTTAGGTGTTCTAAGTATCTCTTACTCCTTCACCAAGAAGGAAGTCCTTTATCTTTTGAATAAATAGTTATAAGTGCTTGCATATAATTCATTATATTCATTGTATGCAGTGAAAGATCAGGAAACACTAACACAGTAGAAAGACTTCCTGCCTGGAGCGGGCATCAGGATTAAAAGACTCCTACATCCCCTTCTCCTAGACAATTCTCTGGGAGCCCCCTTCTAAGATCTAAAGAAGGCAGAGTCAGCCACACCTGCTGTGTCTTGGAGGTCTTGTGCCCACTGAGCTCAGGTCGTTCCCGTCACACAGACAATGGGGTGGGACTCTGATCACCAACCTCTACAAAGCTCCAGGGGTTGGTGTGTGAATAAGCGAGGCTGCGCTGAACCTGCTCAGTCTCATGCTACTGGCCACCTCCCGCCCCCAGGTGGAGAAGGAGAGGGAGCTAGAGCTTCAAGAGAAACTGGATGAACAGCGAAGAGTCCTGGAGGGAGAGCATGAGGAGACCCTGCAAGGTAAGGATGGAGATGCTTCACTAGCAAGGGTGTGGAAGGCTCCTTCTTTTGTCCCCACCTCCTGAGTTCACAGGGGTCTCCCACTGGCCCCCACCTCCTGCCTCTGCCCCTCCCTCCTATCACTGGCCCCTCCCCCTGCCTCTGGTCCACAAATAGTTAGCTGCTTTAAAAGGGCTGGAGTCTTCAGGGTCCTTGGGACTTGTCCTTTTGGACATGACTTTAAAACTGACACCATGCTTTGTCTAACCTTAGTTGAGAGATTTTTTTTTTCCCTTTCCATTTTAAAAGCAAGTCACATTCCTTAAAGGAAATTTGAAAACTCTAGACAAATAGGATAATTTTTAAATATCCATATTCCTTCCCTACAACAATGACAGCTCTTAAAATTTATAGTTAGGTTATTTTTTTCAAATAACTTTTTTCCTTTTATATGTGATAAGACCATCATAAAAATTTAGAATCTATGGGTTAAACAAAACCATCTTAGAGCATCGTGGTTAGGACCTCAGGCTCTGCAGTCACAGTCCCGGGGTTTGGATCCCAGCTTCACCTCTTCCTCTTAGTGGCTGTGTAACCTTGAAGAATTGGGTTAACTTCGTTCATAGGGTCTTTGTGAGAATTAAATGATTTAATGTACAGATAGATGGATAGGTAGATAAAATTTAGAACAGTGCCTAATATTTCACAAGATACTTAGCAAACAATTATTAGTACTTGTTATTTTCTTATTGAGAAAATTAAAATTGTGTGTAATTCCACCCAGAACTAGTCACTGTTACCCCTTTGACATAGATCCCTTTTTTTTTTTTAAGATTTTATTTATTTGACAGAGAGAGAGAGAAATAGCCAGAGAGGGAACACAAGCAGGGGGAGTGGGAGAGGGAGAAGCAGGCTCCCCGCTGAACAGAGAGTCCAATGCGGGGCTTGATCCCAGGACCCTGGGATCATGACCTGAGCCGAAGGCAGATGCTTAACCAACCGAGCCACCCAGGCGCCCCTGTAGATCCCTTTCATTCTGTGTGTGTGTGTGTGTGTGTCTACCTGGGATATTTATCTATACACATACACACACAGACTTTGGGGGGAGGAGATAAATTGTTCTCACTTTGAATTCTATTAACATCTTGTCATTAAACTTCTGTAACATAAGTTTTAGTAATTACTCAGCATTCCACTGTCAGCCCTTGTTCATTTAACTGAGCCCCAGTTGGTTAGGCATTTAGGTAATTTCAAACTTTTGCTATTGTTTATAATAGCAATGATACTTACACAGTGAACCCTGTTTTGTAAAATCTTGGCCACATTCCTGATTTTATATTTAGAAACTAGTAGAGTTGGTGTGACCAAGTTTATATATATATTTTTTATTTTGATAAAATACACATAAGACTGTTACCATTAGTGACATTTCATACATTCAGAGTGCCCTGCATCCATCACCCCATCCCATTCCAGCACGCACTCATCACCCTGAGAGTAAGCCATCCCCACCAAGCAGTCACTCCCTGCCCCTCCCCAACCTCCTAGCCCCTGGCAGCCACCAGTCTGCTCGCTGGCCATGGTTTTGTCCATCCTAGACACTCACTAAATAGAATCATGCCATCTGTGACCCCCACGTCCGGCTTCTTCACCCAGCATGATGTTTGCAGGGCGCATCTATGCTGCACCGTACATTTGCACTCTTTCTTTTTTTCTCTTCCATTTTAAAAGCTACTCCATCCCTTTTTATGGCAGAGTCATATTCCATTATCGTTGGCATGGACGCACCACACTTTGTTATCCATTCATTAGTTGATGAACACCTGGGCTGCCTCCACCCTTTGGCGACCGTGAATAGTGCCACTAGTACGAGCACTTTCGGTTCCCCTGGGTGTACACCCAGCAGCAAAATTGCGGGGTCATACAGCAAATCTGTGCTCAACTTTATGAGAGACGGCCAAACGATCTGCCACCGCAGCTGTGCCATTCGGCATCCCAAGAAGCGACGCCCAAGGGCTCCAATTGCCCCACATCCGCGCCAACACTTGTCATTTTCCATTGTTGTTGTTACTGTTGTTATTGTTGCCATCCTAGTGAAGTGTGGAGTGGTAGCTCATGGGTTTTTTTATTTGCATTTCCCTAATACCTAATTGTGCTGAGCATCTTTTCATGTGCTTTTTCGCCATTTGTATATCTTCTTTGGAGAAGGTTATGTACATTTTTAATGTTATTGAAACAGACCTAGAAAATGTTATACCAGTGTTTCCGTTAATCATTGGTATTTGCATGATCTTTCCCGAGAACTATCTTTTAAAAATACAGGTAGGATTTTTTTTTAAGATAGATAGATTTGAGAGAGAGAGAGAGAGCATGAGCAGGGAGAGGAGCAGGGGGGAGGGAGTAGGAGGGGGAAAGAATCTCAAGGAGCCTCCATGCGGAGCCTGACACAGGGCTCCATCTCAAGACCCTGAGATCACGCCCTGAGCTGAAACCAAGAGTCAGATGATCAATTCACTGAGCCACCCAGGTGCCCCCAGTTAGAAATTTTAGATACTGTTCTTTTCATTTAACATTGTTTCCAACATGTTTCCAAATAATTATGCTGCTTGTAAATGTTGATAAAGTTAGACCATTGCATACGTGGTTTTCCTTATATCCTGTGAGTCTAGACTTCCAGATTTTAACTGCTGTAAATAACACCGCACTAAACGTCTTTTGCATAAAGATGTGCCCACATTTCACGATATGTCCTTAGATTCCCAGAAATGGAATAACTAGAACAGAGGCCTGAACAATTTTAAGATTCTTGAAACATATTGCAACACTAGCACAAAATGTTTTGGAATGGATTTGAAGCCTGAAGAGCTGTTTTAATTCTACTGTGCTGTGCAGTGTTGGGCCTGTCGCTCAACCTCAGCTAAGTTTCTACATCTATGGAAACTACCTTGAATCTCAGGTCACCTTCCATATCTCTAAAATCTATCTTCCCCTCGTTATGAGGCTATTGTAGGAAAACAGCTCTGTTCTCCATGCATTGCTTTGATACTACTTTTAGTATTATAAATAAATTGATAAGAAAATTTTCCCTCATGTAAAAACCCCAGAGGAGAAGGCACTGCCAGTCTTGAGTTCTTCCCATCAGTCAGAATTCCTTCATAGTTATTTCTAAATCACTTGGCTTATATTAGGTGGTACATAAATGTGTGTTAAATGAATGAATAAAAGCATAGTGGGAGGGAAGAAATAGGATTTTATGTGTTTGGGGGACAGTACATAGATGACTGGGAGAAGCTAGTGGTGGTTCTTCACCTTTGATGACCCCTTGTTGTCTTTTATTTTCTTTTTGTTTTTATTTTTTAAATTATCATACAGTAAAATTGACTTTTTTGGCATCCAGTTCCATAAATTCTAGCACAGGTATACATTCACGTAATCATCACTCTAATCTGATACAAAACAGTTCCAACTCCCCCCCAAATTTCTCTCAGGCTATCCTTTTTTTTTGGTAAGATTTTATTTTTATTGGAAAGAAAGAGAGAGAAAGCTCACGAGCAGGGGAAGGGGCAGAAGGAGAGGAAGAGAGAGAATGCCAAGCCGACTCTGCACTGAGCGAGGAGCCTGACAGGGGGCTCCATCCCACAAGCCCAAGATCATAACCCGAGCAGAAACCAAGAGTCAGACGCTTAACTGACTGAGCCACCCGGGTGCCCCTCAGGCTATCCTGTACTCAACTCCACCCTACTCCACTTCCTGGCACCTGCTGATTCGTTCCCCATCACTATAGTTTTGTCTTTTCAAGGCTGTTCTATAAACAAAGAAATACCTAATTTTTGATCGTATCCTCTCACTCATCATGGCATGTTTTTTTTAAAAGATTTTATTTATTTATTTATTTATGGGGGGGGGAAGGAGAGGGGCAGAAGGAGAGGGACAAGCAGGCTCCCCACTGAGCAGGAAGCCAGATGTGGTGGGGTTCCATTCCAGGACTCTGGGATCATGACCTGAACTGAAGTCAGATGCTTAGCCGACTGAGCCACCCAGGCGCCCCCTCATCATGATGTCTTTGAGAGTCATCCAAGTTGTGTGTATTAATAGTTCGGGGTTTTTTTTCTTCACTGCTGAGTTGTATTCCATTGTTTACTCATCCACCCACTTGTAGGACATTTGGGTGTGAATAAAGCCTCTTCTGAACCTTCACATACATATTTCTGTGTGTTCATAAATTTCCATTTCTCTTGGGTAAATAATGCAGGACCAGGATGGATAGGCCATATAATAAGTATATGTTCAGCTTTATGAGAAACAGGAAACTGGTTTCCTAAGTGGCCATGATTTTGTATTCCCATAAGCAATATAGGAGTTCCACTGTTCCTTCTCACTAAACACTTGCCAATTTTTCTTTTAAATTTTAGCTGTTCTAATTGGTGTGTGGTGATATCTCATCATGGGTTTGATTTGCATTTCAATAATGACTAATGATGTTGACCATTTTTTCTTGTGCTTACTTGCTGTCTGTATATCATCTGGTCAAATGTCCATTCAAATCTCTTACCCATTAACTAGATTGCTTGTTCTTACTGTTGAGTTTTGAGAGATCTTTATATATTTTGGATGCAAGTCCTTTGTATTTGCAAATATTTTCTCCCAGGCTGTAGGGTTGGTTTTTTTTCCTCATTCTCTTAACAATGTATGTCATAAAGCAAAGCTTTTAATTTTGATAAATTTCAGTTTACTATTTTTTCTTCTATTCAATATACTTTTGGTGTCATATCTTAAAAATTCTATGCTGAGGGTGCCTGGGTGGCTCAGTTGGTTAAGCGACTGCCTTCGGCTCAGGTCATGATCCTGGAGTCCCGGGATCGAGTCCCGCATCGGGCTCCCTGCTCAGCGGGGAGTCTGCTTCTCCCTCTGACCCTCTTCCCTCTCGTGCTCTCTATCTCTCATTCTCTCTCTCTCAAATAAATAAATAAATAAATCTTTAAAAAAAAATTCTATGCTGAACTCCAGGTAACAAAGATCTT